TTACAAATAATGTACTCACCATCTGTACACACCAATGCATTTTCAACACTACTGACTCATCACCCTTCCAGACTTGTAGTAGATTTACTAAAGCTCTGGAGCTTCAAAGGGCTCCCATACAGATATCATAAACACACCTTCAAGGAATATAGCATGCCCTCACTTACAGTCAGCACAACATTGGCTGAAAACACACTCATTTCAAAGATTTACAGAGTGGTCTTCCAATCACCACCATTTACAGCATGGCACCAAACACACACATTGGTATTGTCACAAGGAATCTTCCCTTAAACAAAGACTAACCATAGACTTATTGGCACCACACACCTCTGCTACCCCAAGTCTCAACTCCCTTCTTACTATACAACACCATTGATCTACCTTTACAGCTATCACTCAAGCATGGGTTAAAGCTTGGTTAAGTAAGACCAATATCATCAACGCAGTAAACAGCTACCATCTACCCTACACACTGGCACTTACATGGCATAAATTGGGCAATCCTTTCCCTGCTCAACTTTCGAGCTACAGATTAACCTACTATCGATATTCGCAGATACTCTGTGCTGGTTATGATAACATATCCAGAGGCATTACAGTCATACACTATCTAGAAGACTTCTTGTTGCTCAAAGAAAGCATATTTTTCACTAGAAGCCTCATGGCAGCTTAGTCTGGTTGACCACTTGGGCGTCCCAGTACCCCATAAGAAACAGAAGGCGCAGACACTATCATCACATTACTGGGCATATGACTTGAGTCGGCATCCATACACGCAAGTTACCACAAGACAAATAGGGAACATTCTCAACTAAATCAATCACTACCTCCTGCTTAGTACTTACAACTACAAGGAACTACAATCCCTACCAGGTTCCTTAATTTTGCCATGCCAATCATACCACAAGACCACGCTTTCACATCCAGAGTACTTTCCCCTTTTTTCCACACTTCCAACATGACGATCAGAGGAGGTGCCTAGACACCTCAGCAACAGCAGACCTGCACATGGGGGGGGGATTTCTTAACCATTTGGCATGGTAAAAGCATGTTCCTTCCAGGATTGTCTGACACTTCTCCAATCAGATGGTCAGATGCAGCGTATACCACGGGTTTGGCAGCGATCTACCGGGAACAATTGCTTTGGGGCTGTTGGCCATGGCATCCAGGTTTGGAAATTTTTCCACCACTTCAGCCCCTTTGGGAGATCTACCCCATTGTAGCAGCTGCTGTGGCATGGGGTAAATCATGGTCAGGGTCATCAATCCGTTGTTACTCAGACAACTAAGCACATATCATATCATCAACAAACGCCACTACTCATCCATAAGTTCATGATGTTTCTGGGGAACTCACTTGGTTGGCCACTTATCACATTTCACTTTCATGTACCAGACGGGGGTATACATCCCTGCCGACAACTGTCTCATTTATATTCCAGGCATGTTCATCATACGCTTCCTACAGCCGCCCATACAGTCACGTCCACTCTTTCGTTCCAGAGACAAAATCATGGATTAGACATACTCATGCAGCATAGCATGCACTATGCCACCTAGCACTTTCGTCCCATACTTGTAGAATGCATAACACAGCTTTTCACCTGGCTTAAAGAATCTCATTGGAACACGACATAGCTCAGCCTGTGTCACAAAATTTCTCCTAAGTTTTGCTTATTTTTGCCACCTTAAACTTAAACTATCTCATACACCATTAATTATATATTTTACAGGCATTCAACAACACATGATAACCTATGGCCAAAACTACCATAAACTTCATGCTATCATACCAGGAAAGAATATACTCAGAGGTTTTCAGGAATCCATTCCCCCACGTTCCTCTCAGAGATTACCAATAGCCATCCAACTGTTCATCCTTATCGGACCTATTAGATCTACAACCATTCAATTATACTACCAAGTCGGCCATTACCAGCCATGCACATTGCCTTTTATGCCTTTCTCAGGCCAGAGAATCCACTACCATCACCACCACTCAGACAGATCATTGTCTTCAACGATCCCACGTACGTAAACACATATATCATTACCTATTGGCTCTACCACATTCCGAAATGAGTCAACATGCACCAACAGTAGAGATAACATACTATCCTACCCACAACAAATGGTGCCCACTTTCGGTCCTAGATTCCTACCTTCAAAATCCTTTCAGGAATTAAATACTGTAATGCATTTAAGGAAATGTCTGGTTAATTTGTATATATTTGTTGACTGTATTAAATCTTTGATTATTCATTTTTGCCCTCTTTATTTACAGGCCTACCGTATCGTCGGTATCGGCACACCACAACCGACTTGCTCCCTTTACACTATCCTAAGCTTATGCTGGATCCTTACTCCATATACGGCTATTTTGCCCCTTACACAAGTATTAAGGCAGTTTTGCCTGTATTTGTGGGAGGGGCTTAAATTAATTCACTCCCCTATATAAGGGACACCCCTTACCTGACTCATATCGCTTGAGGTCAGCATCAGAATGACCCTCCCACCCACTCCTCATTTCAACACTTTCTCTTTTCTTTCCATTTACTTTACTTTCTTACTCCTTGGTGGGCCCTCTTTATTTACAGGCCTACCGTATCGTCGGTATCGGCACACCACAACCGACTTGCTCCCTTTACACTATCCTAAGCTTATGCTGGATCCTTACTCCATATACGGCTATTTTGCCCCTTACACAAATATATATATATATATATATATATATATATATATATATATATATATATATATATATATATATATATATATATATATATATATATATATATATATATATATATATATATGTATGTAAAGGATAAGTAACTTTGTACCGTGCATTATGGGACTCTGAAAAAAATCATAATAAAATGTGAAACCATAGGTTTTACCCAAGGTATCATTATTTTATCCGAATGCACGGTTTACTGTTATTTATCTTTTTCATTACATGATTATTTAGATCTTTTATTAAGATTGATCATTATGGCTAAAAAAAATAAAATTCTTAGGATATCATTGGGACATAAATGTTTTTGCCTGCGCCAGTTTGAAAGCAGTCCAATTCTGTGGCAAACCTAGCCACTTGGACAATACAGAGAGGCTATGACTTTAAGGGTTGCCTGTATATTTCTTAGAACGTTATATGTGCCTGGTTGTAATGTACTGTAAACCGTATGATTGCATTGCCTGTATGGGCTATCTGCCGAAAGCAGATAGCTGTATTTCATTTCGTTTCACGAACAGCGCCTTTGCGGGCTGTTCGTGAACCAAATAAACTATCCTGCAATAGCCCACACACTAAGAGGCGTGTGGCGCTTGTTAACCGATTGCAACAATGTTGCAATCGGTAATTAGAGGCTCTCCTAGGTGGCCGTCGTTTGACGACCGACCACGCGGCGGTCTGCCATCTTGGATTCTTTGTTCCTCCAGCGGTGTTTGGTCGTCGAGCGCGTGGTACTGAAAACGGCTACTCGACGGCGTGAACACCGCTGGACTTCCAGGCCGTTCGGGAGTTTCGGGCTTTTTCTGGTATTTTACTCCCCGTATGCCAGTCGGTCTTTTGAATGTAGGTTTTGATGAATATGTTTTTCGTGCGGTGTTCGGTTGTTTTAGCTGGGATCTGAGCGTTATTCCCACGAAATGTGCGCTCAGACCCCAGCTATCTACCGAACGTCCATTCGTTTAAATAAACCGAACAGTGTAAAAGTTATGTATTTAAATGTGAAATGCCGGTTCTTCTGCACGGAGGGATAATCCACTTAACGGTATATTCCAGTGGGAGGATCCCTCTCATGCAGCAGTGCCTGATGGGAGAAATGCTCTGTACATTAAGTTTCCCATGTAGTCCACTCTTGTAATACCCCTGTGATGTGACTCAGGAAACCCCTTGCATGGGGAATTGTATAAATACTGGAGCATGTGAATAAAGACCTCAGTTGACTCCCAGAACTGTGTTTCGTCCGGTTACTGGGGGATTTGGGATATTGCCTTGCTTTTCAGCGCTTGACTGTGGATTACCTTATTAACCAGCGGAGATTGTGGGATTTCATATTGCCGCTCCGCTACAAATTCCCCTATTTGAGGCAGACTTCATTAATTCTGCCTCTCTGCAAGTTAAAGGAAAACAAAGGAATACAAAGATGTATTTGAAATACTAAAGGGTTTATCAGTACCTGCGTTGTCCCCACCCATCACTTGCCTAATTCCACCTGGAGCGGTTTCCTCAGTTATTAGACCTTGCAGACTTGTCTAACACAGAGCACTAGGTGGCATTGGATGGTGGACAATTGCAAATACATAAGGAATGAAGCATGGGGTAAGTAATGTGGGAAAGAATATAAGAGGCAAGTGGCAAGTTATGTGGAAGGGAGGGAAGCAATGGGGAAAGTAATGTGTAGAAGGAGATGGCATTGCCTGGATGGTGGCGTAAGAGGGTATGGATGAGCCAAGTGTCATTATGAGGGATGATTTGTGTGACATAATGAAACAGGTTAGGACTCAAGACAAAGCAGTAATATGCAGGTTTGCAGGTTAATGTGCATGACTCTCTCACAGAGCTCCACATAGCTAAAACTCACAAACCCATTATTAGTGCTTGAATAAAGTATATATGAATTAATTTACCTAATTCGGGCCCATTTTGATATTCTAGTCTCTACTATTTTCCTCTATAAAAATAAATCAATTATTTTTCTTTCTTAAGATACATTTATTAACTCTGTAAGAAGTTGGCTTGGCCTCCTTTACCTATGGGTTTATTCACAAAGCCAAGATTTGGGTGCATGTTCAGTATTCATGGACTTCATTTCTGTCCATACGCTACAGGTGAACTCTATCGGAAGCAGATTCACACGGACCGAAAGCCCACAGCTGCGAGGTCACCCTGAAAACAACATAGCCGCAGGGATTTGACTCCCACCCGAGGCAGACACTGCAATAGCTCGCAAGTACTCCACAAGGGGACTATCACTCTGCTACTTGCCTGGACTGTGCCTCACATGGAAGATCCCAAGCTTTTGACCCTCTATAGCCACCACACTTCATAAGCAAGCCTCACGGCACACAGACACTGATTCTTATCTAGCTGGCGGGGAGTTAACCTGGGGTGGATAAATGAACGCATGTTTTAAGCTTTTACCTATCGATATACTAAACTAACCGGTGTGACCATTTGCTTTAGTTAAAGTAGCCCTACTGTAGACAACACCAACTTTTCTAAAGTAATCGCATGAGACCTAGCCTGAATGTCATTTTATGCTTTAATAGCACTAGCATGTCTAAGTAATTCGCATTGCAAACCAGCATTACCTGCATCAGTCATAGACTAGCTACTGTACTGCTCAAGCTTGTTTATCATATATACTTACTCTATACCTTAAAAACTGTGCATGTTACTCATATGTCCCGCATGTTGCTCGAGGAATTGTCTAACACGTAATGCCAAAGTTCCTAGCATAACTTGAAATGTAAACTTGCGGTCTAGCCTATTATCTGCTATGATTATTTAGACCAGATTTCACTAAACAAAATGCATGTCCATCTCTTACGCATAGATAAGCATAATAAAACCAATATCGAGAGACGGAAACGATGACACTCAACATGAACACTGATCTTAAGATATTGAACTAAACGTGTTTATAATTTACAATTGAATTGAACACTCAAATGTTTATGATAATCGAGCACCTAAACTATTTCAATTTTGTTATTTGTAACTAAAACATGTGCTTGACAATCGATTACCACAACCTGTAATGCAAATGTTCACTATTGTACCCTGATGTCGCTGTTGTGGCGCACCAAGGAGAATTGTTACTTTTGTGCACACCAAAAATAAAGAATTTTAAAAAAAAAACTCTAGGTGATATCAGCAAAATGCTTTTGTTCCTCTTTCTGACAAAAATTTCCCAACTTGATTTATTGGATCACAGAATGTCAGGTCAAAATTACAGCGCCATTGACCTCCATTGTAATAAGCAGCATGCATTGTTTCAAAGATCTACAGAGCAATGAATCTCTCAGAAGAGTATTGGGTAAAAAGAAAATATTACAGAGCTCAACCGCAGCAGTACTCTGTATATATCACATAGTCCAAAAACAACAATTGTGACAGCATTTATGACGGAATTCAGGCTCTTGATCTGCCCTTGAATTGTAGCTCAAGAACAGCTGAAAGTTCAAGGATACTACATTAAACTAAATGTTCTTATAAGTTACGCAAAAAAAAAAAAATCTAAGCGATACTGTTATGGAAAGTGAAATTTAAAGAAAAAATAGTCAAACTGAAAACATTGTAGGCCTGAATTAATCCAGATCAGTTATTTTGCCTAAAATGTTAAATTCACTTTGAATTTAACACATTAATTGAATTTGAAGATATTGAGAGATGTGTGTATATTTAAAACTTATTACTAATAAAGTTAATATGTAAAACAAACCATATAGAGTCAATTAAAAAATAAGAAAAGAAAAATAAGAAGTATACACATGTAGATAGTCAGTAAAAGGGCTGCTTATTTCTAATATAGTGCTACTTTGTATAGTGCATCGTATATCAAATGGAGAGTTGCATATGTGATGTATGGGCGGTTGGGCTGTGTATGAGTGTGTGAGTGTATGAGTGTATGTATTGTGATGTATGGGCATTGGGCAGTTGGGCTGTTGTTGGCTGTGAATGATGCACTTCCTTTCTTTTGGTTCTTTACTTCCTATTCCTGTTGGCAGTTGGTGGAATGTAGAGGGATTTGGAATGGCGGCTGCAGAAACCCTGTGTAACAATGCAGCAATATGAAGATCCTGCTATGTATGTATTAATAAAGAGAGTACTTCGTTATACAGGAATTATTGACTGATTTGTACAAAACATCACATGCATAACGGTGTCTTTTCCCCCCAATGGATTGCATACATATGTCTTTACTGTCAGATACTGTGCACAGTGTGCAGACCAAACATGAAAATAAATGACAACGACTGTGACAGAATTAAAGCTGATATTTTACTGTCTGGGGACTTTGCATAATTTACAAATAACCCCAACAGTAAAATCGCTGCTGGGAATGCAGTGGCTGTCAGGGAGGAGGCAGGCAAAAGTGAGTATGTGCGAGAGTACAGCATTGAGGTCTACGGAGGATCCCACCAGATAGATGTAGCTAATTTCATTACAGCCATCACTGATGGCGGCTGGTGGGGAAAGGACCGTCCAGTGTCAGGCATAGGAGTCCCTACTTTGTATCCATATATCTTTTGACTGTGTTGGAATTCCAGTATATTTCCAAAAAGTCGATTTGAGTATTTCATAAAGATTCTATGACAGTGCTCAGTTAAACACTAGCAAAAGTAATGTGCTTCATTAAAGTAACAGAGAACTGAAAGTAAAGGTGAATGTTTATATATATATATATATATATATATTCCTATATATATTCTGCGAAACAGAGACGTAAGCAGTGAAATGATGTATGAAAAGATAGAGGGAAACAGGACAGTTAGATTAGAGATGAAGTCAAACCATAAACTCAAGGTGTATAAGCCAGCATCCCCCAAGTCTGACTCACTGTATCAAAACACATATTTCCCTTAGATAAGTGAAAAGTGGGAGAAATACAATGAATTTAAGAAGCCATGAATTGTCCAGTTGTTTTTCAACTTTAAATTTAATGGAAGGATAATTCATTGAATTTGGAATTTTCACAAATGAAATCCAAATGACAAAGATAACCAAGTTGTGACTATACTTGAGTTAGAGACTTTTTCCAGGTCAACTGATTTTTGTCTCAGTTTTTCCATTTGTGTTTAACCCCCTAGTAACCAGATCATTTTCCAATTTTTTTACTGTTAAGGACCAGGGCTGTTCTTACATTTCTGCAGTGTTTGTGTTTAGCTGTAATTTTCCTCTTACTCATTTACTGCACCCACACATATTATATACTATTTTTCTTGCCATTAAATGGTCTTTATAACGATACCATTATATTCATCATATTGTATAATTTACTATAAAAAAAAATAACCCCATTATGGCATACCATTTGTAAAAGTAGACAACCCACGGTATTCAAAATGGGGTACATCCAGTCTTGTTTAGTAGCCACTTAGTCACGAACCCTGGGCAAAATTAGCATTTATATCAGGTTTCTTTGCATTTTTCACACATAAACTGCCATTTCAACGATGACATTATCAGTATTACACATTTTACTGCTCTAAAACATTCATGTTTGTGTAGAGTAATGTCTTTGTAAAGTTACAAGGTCAAACATAAGATTTGTCAATTTCTGTTTCTGTAAATGTTGTCTGTGATACGATATGGCAGCCCAGAAATGACAGTGAACCCCACCACGACATACCACTTGAAAAAGTAGACAAACCAGGGTATTCATAATGGGATATGTCCAGTCTTTTGGGTTATGTCCAGCCAAAAACGTTTGCCAAAGTTAGCGTTCATATTTGTTTTTTGCATTTTGTTACACAAAAACTGCACTTTTACTGGTGATTTAATCGTCGTTATAAGTTTTACTGTTTTAAACACTCATATTTGTCTTGAGCAAAGTCTCCCGAGTATAAATATTCCCCCCATGTACAAGTTTTATGTTGTTTTGGAAAGTTACAAGGTCAATATAGGGCTTGCCCAATTCAGTTTTTCAGATGGGTTTGCTGGGTCTATGTTATCCTATTGAGACCATATGGTAGCCCAGGAATGTGAAATAACCCCATCATGGCATACCATTTTCAAATGTAGACAACCCAGGGTATTCAAAATTGGGTATTTCCAGTCTTTTGTATTAGCCAATTCGTCACAAATGCTGCCCAAAGTTAGCATTTTTTATTTGTTTTTAATAAATGTTTAGTTTTTAACAATGTATATTATATATATATATATATATATATATATATTTATATAATACGGGTGTATGTTATTATATATATATATATATATATATATATATATACACGCACGCGCACACACACACACACGCACACACGATACATGTGTATATAATACGAGTGTGTGTATATATATATGTATGTGTATATATATATATATATATATATATATATATATATATATATATATATATGTATATGTAGAAAGGCCATTAGGCCTGAATTTGTGGAAGGAGTAAGTCCCCTACTTAAACTCCCAGCCCCTACTCACCTCTGCCGTTCAAGTTGATTGTTAGCTGTCTATCTCCATAGCATAACTTACGCAGACATTAATCTTAGCTCTGTTACATTTCTTTGGTCTCCACAGATTGTCCGTTTCTCTTCTATTACTGCATAGGTTGTCAAATCCAAGTTCTTGTATTTACAATCCAGGTATAGTATTTACTCCCTTCAGTTTCAATCATGTCAAGGTCTCAGGCAGCCTTCACTCTAAACTTGTCACAAACGTACGGCCCCTCTACTCTCGTATCATTTATGTCCAGTTAACACGGTCCTCTGGGGGAATTTGTTAATTAATACATACTGTTATAACCGCTTCTATTTTTAATAATTGTATGATGGTTTTAATCCCTAGCTCCAACATTATTCTAGGCCTCCTCCGGTTTTCACCGTACAAACCACTTACGCTCATCCAAGTACCTGTACAACAAATCAAGGTATAGTACTCTACTCATTACGGGGCTCTCACACTAGACCTGACGCGGTCTCAACTTATCACGATTATCACACGGTCCTACGTCCTTTTTGTGTTTAAATTCTCTACATTTTTACTTAGGCCTACGTTCATACTGCCATCAGGCAAGAACCTACTCAACCTACCTACCTGGTACACTGCTCCATTACCAGGTATTTGCATTCTTACTCGTTACTAGCACTTGCTACCCCTAAGGCTTCAATCAGCCTCCCTCTGTAGCATAAACTCGTCCCAGTCTCGGACTAATCATTCAGATCCCTCACCTCAGGATCTCACGTTGCGCTCCTATAGCCACCCCTTACTGCCTCCAATTTTTTACGTTTCAAGCATACGCCCCCACGTTACGCTCAAACACATCAACGTCTCTCTTAACCCTTAGGCTTCTTCTACGATACCAGCAGCTGCCAAGCCACTCTACTTAAAACACTCAAAGATTCAAGTTACTGGTTATAACCACTATCAAGTTTAGTATCCACTCATTACACCCATAATTGCCAATTAACCATAGAAGGTGCGTGAACTGGCTTACAGGGTCTAGGCTCCAGCCCTTGCTCACCTAAGTACATCCGGTCCCTCGAGGCCATCTCCCACCTCAACACGGAGGCACGGCCCCACGCCCAAATCATAGTTAGATGCCTCGTTCGCCCTTCTACATGACCGCAGTCAGGGCCTCACTTTTCACGGCCACACGTTTTTGAATCTCTTAACAGTCATCGAGAGGCCAACATCCCACCACCACGTCTGTGGCAACGAACTTCCCTTGGCCAAATCATAGAGCCTCTCACCACCACTCTGCACTAGCAGGGCCTCATTTGTCACTGGTTCACAGTTAAGTTTTTTGCTTAGGCACTAGCCTTACAGTCCAGTTTACCTAAGGAACCCCACCTCATACCTCCCTCTTTTCTCTCCTACGCCCCTTCTAAATCTAATTCACTAATTCATTTCTAGAATGTCTCAAGATCCAGCTCCCATCAATGAGTTGTCTGCCGAAGAGATTCCGTTCACTCCCAAGTCTCCAGGCGAATTTCTCGCCCCCTCTACTCCTACGTCCTTGAGAGCATGGACTATTCCTAAAATTACGACTGAACTTAGGCTCAGGGGCATACCCTTTCCGGCTACGGCTAGAAAGGCGGAACTTTATAGACTTCTGACCAATCAGGCCCCCGAGCCTAGGCCAGGCACTAGCTCTCAAGGACAGCCATCAGGCGCTTGCA